CTGTGGCAGGGCAATCCATTAGGGGACTTTTTTTTTCCCCTCTGAAATATTTCTGGATTTAGGTTGTGCAGGCCTTAGAGAGCAGCTCCCTGCTTGTCAGAGACCCAGGTTCCTCCTATCTTTCTGCTGGGCTCTTCTAAGTGTGATTTGTGCTCAACCCAACATCACAGGTCTGGCCACCTGCAGATTCTCAAGTAGGAAAGAAAGAGAGGTCCAGAGAGCAGAAGGGAGCCTGCCCGGAGCCAGCCTCCTGCTGCTTCCCCTCATAGGGACTTTTCTGAAGGGTTTCCAAGGGTTTCCCCTTAGGCTCATTGATCATATGGTCTCTCTGGGTCATATCTGGCTGCCAAGAAGGTTCAGAAGGGAAAACTGCTTGCCTGTGTGCTCTGCCTCTTCACACAAAGCAGGGTGCTTTAATGAGAGGAGAGAGTACGGATGCTGAGTAATGGCTCAGGAGTGCCTCATAGTTTAGGTTGGTCTCCTAAGTGGCATTGCCAGTCTAGTAAATACTTTGCAGGATAAAATGTCAGCACTTAAAAAACCTCACACACACACACGTGGAAAGGAGTCTATTGTTTTATCATCTTTACTCACTTTATATAAAATTAGTAACCTATTTGTATATTTTAGGAGATTTAATTATAGGCATCTAAAAAACATAAATGATTACTTTTAATGAATCTTTCCCTGTTTTCAGAAGCGGGGAAAACGTTTGCACTGATTGATTCAAGAATATAGTTTCTTGAGGCTGGAGGTGGAGCTCAGTAGAGTATATGCTTTGCACGTATGACACGTTGGGTTCAATCCCCCAAAATAAAGAGGAAGGCGTCTTAAAGTCTCTTTGACATGGTTCCCAGAACCTTCAGGAGGAAATGAAAACTGCTAAAATGTTTGGCAGAGGCCTGGCATCATATACCAAAAAGACAAGGACTTTGTCTCTAATCTCTTTCTGTTTGTTTGTTTGTTTATTTTTACTTATCTAAAATCTGAATACTATCCTCTAAATTTTTGGGGGGGAGGGGTCACACCTGGCAATGCACAGGGGTTTCTCCTGGCTCTTCACTCAGGAATTACTCCTGGCAGTACTCAGGGATACTGGGAATCGAACCCGGGGCAGCCGCGTGCAAGGAATACGCCCTACCCGCTGTACTAGAGCTCCAGTCCCTCTCCTCTAAATTTTTGGAAAGGAATTTAATGGAGCTGGGGAAATGGCTCATGTGGTAGAGCACTGCAGGAATGCAAAAAGGCCCTAGGGGGATCCTTGCCACTGCATTTTCTTCTCTTCTCTGCCTCCATGGCAGGGGCAGGAGACTCTGCGCTTTTCTCTTCTGGGAGTTGGGTTTTATAGTCTCTGGGTCTTGGTCATTGATGGGATTACACGGTGCTGGGGGGCAGTTGGTGGGTGTGACCCCCACCTACTGGAAGATGGAGGATCTGGGTGGAGGATGCTCAGCCCCGATCCGAGCAGGCTTGGAGATCTCAACCCCGGGACCTGCATGCCTTTGTTCCTCTGCCGGTACCTTCATGCGTATGGAGAGTGGTCTCAGCATGGTTGTGGCTGGTTCTGGAGGTCTTCGGCTGCCAGAGCTCTGGTCAGGACGGGGAGGGAAACTCAACCCGCCCCCCCTCCAAGGGGCCCCGGCGAGGACAGCCAGGCGTGGGAGCAGGAGACTCTGCCACAACCGCATTTGCGGCCGTGTGGCATCTTATTATCTCATTCCTGCTTTTGACAGCCTGGCAGGCTACCGAATGTAACCTGCCCACACAGCAGAGTCTGGCAAACTCCCCATGGTGTACACAATATGCCAAAGCCCAGTAACAATGATGGGTCTCATTCTCCTAACCCTGAAAGAGCCTTGAATGTGGCACTTTTTAGAATCTCAGGGCTAAGACGAAGGAGACTTTACTGGGGCCTGCTTGAGGAAATTGACGAACAACAGGATGATTGTGATCATGATCATGATCATGCCCCCAGCACTCTGAGTGAGGCCCTGGGACACCCCTGCACTGCCAGGTATTGCTGGTGCCTGACCTTGGGTTGAGTTCTGGTGAGAGTGATCCACAAACCAAAATCAACCCAAACTAGTTTTTCCTCTCATGGTGCTTTGAATGATGTTTACTCTTTTCTTTATACTTTACATGTCTCTATTTTTTTGTAATCACTATATATTGTTTGTATGATTTAAAAATAAATTTGATCAAAAATAAAGAATATGCATCCCATTTTTTATAATCAGCTGCTGCTTTGTTATTTAGGATCTTAGCATCAGAGCTGAAATTTTAATATTGATGTTTAATCAAAAAAAGAATAAGCCCATGGCAGAAATATCCTATAGGGTTTATAAATTTGCATTTTAGACTTGTTTTTCTGCATTCATTTAGAGATTTTTTCCACCATTTCCTCTAGTGATTGGGCCCTTATCTAATAGAATCGGGTAAATTGAAAAAAGCGTAAATGGCTGCTGGATCTTTTCCTGCAGTGGCATTTGCTGTGGCAGTTAAAAACAGGAGCAGCACAAAGATTAAATTCTCCCATTGGGTCGTGGAGTCCCAGGGTCGTGGTTAACCTGCTATCATTCCCAGGGAAATGCTGATAATAGGACTTCATTTTTGTTTCTGGAGAGAAAAGCTGAGGATGGTGAAAAACGTAGGTCCAGGCAACCTACCTATGAGCAAGACAAGGTGGTCGGGTACCTGGTTCACATTCATGATCCCAGAGCCAGGAGCACTTTAATCCTGGAGACTCGTTCCAGAATGTTAAATAAAGGTGAGCCAGTTGGAAAATGCGTTAAATATAAACCAAAACAACCTTATTTTTTGTTTGTTTAAAAAGCAATCACCCTCTAGGTCAGCAATCGATTGTTGGAGATTTGGGGACCTAGAGGTGAGAATGCACCCTTGGACTTTGTTTCGGGGGGCAAGGACAGATTCTGCAGAAACCTTGTGGAACAGTCTCCAGGCCATTTGGGAATGAGCCACTTTCCTGATGCTCAGGCAGCCTGTGGACTGCTAATAAGAAGATTCTGCTGCTAATTCTGTTCTCCCTCAGTTGCGAAAATAATATTGATAGAATGTTACTGAGGCTCTAATTATAGTTTTAACTAAATCTGTCTTTTGTTAAGCATAATACTCTCTACATCTATATCCATTTGATAAGTAGTGTTTAGTGAAAAGCAGAGTTTGGCAAACTCTGACACATGGAACAAATCTAGCTTATCACATGGTTTCTGTTTTGTTTGTTTGCTTTTGTCTTAAGATCATCTAACTAATAATAGTTTACAATTTACAGTTTAAATATTTTTATGGTTCTTTGCGGGACCACACCCAGTGGTGCTCTTGGCTCTTAGCTCAGGGATCATTCCTTGTGGGCTTGGGGGACTACATGGGGTATAGCCCCCCATGTCAGCCACATGCAAGGGAAGTGCCTACCTGCTATAATGTCTCTCTGTCCCTTAACCATTTTTAAATGATTGGAAAAATGAGAAAAAATTACAGTTTTTAATGCATCCTGAAATACCAAAACTATTTGTTATCTGTCCCTTTGCAGAAAAAATTGCCAAATTTATATCAAGACAGTTTTGATTGTTATAACTCAAAGTGGTGTGCATGTGTGTGTTTGTGTGTGTGTGTATACACGTGCAAGCAAGGCACAAGCATGTGCATGCGTGCATTCGTGTGTGTGTGTGTGTGTGTACACGTGCAAGCAAGGCACAAGCATGTGCATTCGTGTGTGTTTGTGTGTGTGTGTGTGTGTGTGTGTGTGTGTTGGGGATTTTGGCTTGCATAGCCTAGTTTTTACAAAAATTTGGAGTTCATGAGAATCTGCCCACTTGTCATATTTGATCAAATTTCTGATTGGTATTCTGTCATCCTAGTCTATATTCAGCAAGAATCCTGTTCGGTCATTTTGGTTACAACTATCCTACTCTTTTAAAAATTGTTTATTTATTTATTTATATATTTGGGAAGGATGAGTAAGGAGAGGCTGCTGAAGTCTCAGGGCTGGGAAGAATGGAGACGTTACTGGTGCCCACTCGAGCAAATCGATGACCAACAGGACAACAGTGATACAGGGCTATTTTGGCTCACACCCAGTTGTGCTTAGAGTTTGTACTTGGCTCTGCCCCTGAGAGATCACTTTTGGCAGGACTCAGCGACCATATGAGGTGTGGGGATCGAACCCAGGTCAACCATGTGTAAGGCGAGTGTCCTCGCTGCTGTACTATCTCTCTGTCCCCATAATTCTCCTACTTCTAGTATCTTGTCCTAGTAATTTTTCATCTACTGACCCTCTCACTGTGCTTGTCGTTGCACCTTTCCAATTGCCTTTGCAGTAGTCTTGCTGCCCCTAATAGTAGTCCTGAAAGAATCTTCCTCACTGCTCAACAACTGGCAGGATATTTTTTCTTCAACAATATGAATTGTGTATTGGTTGAGAATCCCTAGGTTAAGGCCATGTTTGGTACTGGTGTGAATTCCAGGGGTCACCTCTTCATATCCCTCAGTTCTTTCCCTCTGGGCTTCCACTCTTCTGGAGAAGAGGGTCTGGCCAGTTCCAACATGCTCTGGGGTATAGTTGACTTCAGAACTTTGAAGAGTCCAGTTGTAAATATTCAATATAGGCAGAGAAGTTGCAGGCAATTCTCCCTTTATGTAACCAGAGCCAGATCACAGGATTTTATGGGTCTTATATAGCCTGTGGACGTTACCTACCCCTGTTCTATGGTGATTTCATCATCAGCCTCCCTGTCCCTCCTTCCCCTTCAACAATCCCATCCTCCCACCCCCAAATATCTCCCCTTGGTCACTAAGAGATGAAACCTTGCAAATCTTCAAAGTAGAATGCTAAGGCAAATGTATGAACTTGTTAAAACAAATTTGGTTAAAACAATCAAGCAATAAATAAAAGTGATTATCTTCCCTGGATCTGGCTTGCAAGTGTGTTTGAAGGAAACAAGAATGAGCATGGGTCTGAAAAACGTGTTTTTTTTGTATTTCAGGATAGACACGGATGAAGTTAGAGACCTTCATGGATGAGTGAGAGGTAAGAGCAAGCCCAAGCCAAATGAAAAAGAAGTCCTTGTATACTTAAGCTCAAGACCACCCTTTCCCTAGCCTGTTAGTTTCATGAGGTCTGCCTTTTCTTATGGACTATCTATTAAAATATGAAAAATTAAACCTGGGAATCTATTCTGAAGTACTGTACAATCTAGGTAGACGAATAATGTATTTAGAAATAGATGATTGCTCAGATTTGAATCCTGACTCTGTCCCATGTTATCCAGGGAAGCTACTTATACTCTCTGCCTCAGTTTCCTCACATGTCAAATAGGGAAAATAATGGTGTACTTTCATGTAGCATTGGTGTAGGACTATTATTAGTTTATAGAAAGTACTTTAAACAATGTAGGCTACAGTGTAACTGTAATTAAAGCCTTATCTGAGGTATTAGTGACCTCATCTGCCAAATACATGTTTAATTCCAGAAAATACTGTTAATATTTTATAAATACTTCTTTGAAATACTTGAAGAGAAAGGTCAGTGAAATTATTGAATATAAAATTATATTTCAGATCATTTGTTCATTGTCAATACATCAGTCTTTATATTCTGGTTTAAAGTATTTTGAGCTGATTTAAGTTGTCCAGGCACTTTTGCAAAGCTTCCTGCTGCCCTCTGGTCTCTGGCAGGGATGCTGTGTTAAGTTTCACTGTGCAGATATTAATTTGCTAAAGAGCAAAGGGAAGGAAATTCCTTAGGGGATTTGTTCTGATGAGAATGCTAAACACATGGGATTTGAAATTTGGTGTTATCATTAATGCAAATGCAGTGTGAATGCCAACATTGAAGTAAGTTAGGTAGACCTGGTAAGAGGGAGTTTTCCTTTGTTTTGTTTGGCAGGCCCGAGTTCAGATTAGACTTTGTTTTATAGGTACAGTTGTACTACTTAGATGTACAGAAACATCTCCAAGTGAGACTTGCTTTTCTGAGCAGCCAAGGGAAAATTCAAAAGCTTATTCATATTTTATTATACAAGCTTATATTTTAATATTTGCATTTATATTATAACCAGGAGTCCCAGTGTTAATGTCCATGTACACATGCACAGAAGAATGTAATTATGGCACAGATAACAAATTCATGAGAGACCCTGAATTTCTATTTTCAAAAAAAAAATACAGCCTCTTTATCTAAATATAGCTTTTGTTAAACCCACCAAAAAGCCTTTGCAGCCTTTTGCCAGTTGATTTTTTTTTTAAGGATGAAACAGACACTCCATTGATTTTTGATATTGTTATTTGTGTGGTTGATTATCTACATGAAGGGAAAAAAGTTTAATTAATTACCATTAACTGGGACATATCCCATGGGTAATGAATTGTGTGTGTATGTGTGTGTGTGTGTATTTTTCTTCCTTTTGGAGTAACTTGTTGGCTGTGTAAGAAGTTCCTGCCTGTCGGAAGACTTGATGGGAAATACTGCAGCTTCTGCAGAAGCATAGGATGGCAGTGTTGTCAAGTTCTTAGATGTTTCCTGAGAGGCGTGGTTGCTCCCTCTGTCTGCAGGACCCGACTCTCCTTTCTTTCAGGATATGAACCTTGAAGTCATTCTCTGGGGCGTGTGTGTCAGGTTTGGGTGAGATTTTTGTTTCTTTGAGGTTTAGAGCTCCAGTCAGTGTGTTTTGAAGAACAGTGTGATTCTGAAGCCAGCCAAAGATGAAACCTATGGCTGTAAACCAGTAACTCAGATTCCTGACTGCAGTCTCTCATGGTATCCGTTGCTGTTGTTCCATGAAATGAGTGCGTCTTAGTTTGGGGTAACAAATAATTTGTGTGCTTTTTTGCACATAGAGTTTTTTTGTTAATACTGTATAGTGGGATAGAGTTGTGAAAAAGGTTTGGAGATTTGTCCAAGCTAAACATCAAGTCAAATTTAGTTTTCATATAGGCTCCTGAGGTCAAGCCTGAGAGGCCATTCCTGGCAATCTGACTGCATCCGATATTTCCCAGGGGTCTATAGGTTGTGGAATCTAACTTGTGACCTCCTGCATGTCGGGTATGTGCTTGATCTCTTTAAGTTATTTCCCAGACCCCTCATATGATTAAAAAAATATATTGTGGCAAGGGAACATACTCAGCAGTGCTCAGGGACTACTCTTGACTCTGTTCTCAGGAGCATCCTCAGGTGGTGCTTGGGGGATTATGTATGTTGCCAGGATTGAATCAGGCTTGGCTGCATACAAGGCAAGTATGTACTGTCTGCACTGGGCCCTTACATCCTTTTATACACTATTGGATTTGATTTTCAAATATTTTGTGGAGGACCTTTATGCCTTTATGCTTATCAAAGATGTTGGTCCTGTGTTTATAAGAGATAGCTTTCCTTTCTTGTAATATCTTTAGTTTTAATTTTACAGTCATGCTGGCCTTATGTAACAAGTTAGGATGTAGTTTCTTTTCTTCTGGAAGAGAGTGTAGAGAATTGGTATAATTTCCCCCACAATGTCTGATAAGAGTTCATCACTAGACAATTTGGGCCCACCATTTCTGCTTTGTGAAGTTATTAATTGCCCGGTTCAGATGATGTTTCTTATATAAATTTTGGTAGAATTTTTTTAAAGATATTGATCTGTTGGGGCTGAAGCAATAGCACAGTGGTTAGGGCATTTGCCTTGCACGCGGCCAACCCGGGTTCAATTCCCAGCATCCCATATGGTTCCCTGAGCACTGCCAGGGGTAATTCCTGAGAGCAGAGCCAGGAGTAACCCCTGTGTGTTGCCAGGTGTGACCTAAAAAGCAAAAAAAAAAAAAGTTATTGATCTGTTTCATCTAGCTTGTCAAATTTTGGGGTCTGCAGTTATTGATAATATTGATTTGTTATCCTTAATATCTACAGGATCAGTACTAAAGGATAGAAATCCCTTTTTAACTGCTAATATTAATAATTTATATCCTTTAAAAGTAATATTAGTTTTATTGATCTTATAGATCTTTTTGAAGGATCAACTTTTGGTTTCACTGATTGTATTTTAATTTTCTGTTTCAACTTTATTGATTTATGCTATAATTATTTTATTCCTTAGGTTTATTTTTACTTTTTCCCAAGTTTTATAAGGTAGAAACTTATGTTATTAATTTCTAGATTTTTTTATTTAAAAAATTTTATTTTGAGTCCACATCTGATGAGGCTCACGGGCACTCCTAGCTCCTCACTCAGGAATTACTCCTCAGGGGACCACATGGGATGCTAGGGATTGAACTACGTAGACTGTAAGCAAGGCAAGAGTCCTATCTGCTGGATTATCTCTCTAGTTCCTAGATCTGTTTTTGCGAATCTGTGTTCAATAATATAATTTTTACTTAGATTATTTAGAAGTAAATCTTGCTTGTGCTGCATCCCACAAATTTTGATAAGTGTATTTTTAAAATTAAAATAATGTAATATTTCTCTTGAGATTTCTTCTTTGGCTCATGTGTATATTGTTTGATAATACATATACTTCTTTTAAACATTTTTTGGCTTTTTAGGTCATATTTGGTAATGCTCAGGGTTTACCCCTGGCTCTGTACTCAGGAACTACTCTTGGTGGTGCTTGGGGGACCATATGGGATGCAGGGATTGAACCCGGGTTGGCTGCATGCAAGGCAAATCTCCTACTTCCTGTATTCCTGCCCCACACATATGCTTCTTGTTCATGAACACAACTCATCATTTTCTAAGATACAACTAGAAAGGTTTGTATCCACTGATAGAATTGTTTTTATTGAGCTTCTATTAATGGAGGAGGATTAAAAGGGAGAGAGGAAAGAATGAAGAAGCATAGACTAAGTCATTATTTTGTTAATGTCTTCTTGAAATGGACTGATAATAAGACATATATACAGTTAAATTATTACTGTAAGGATAAAAATATATGATAACTGGAGAAAACAGTTTTTATTAGCAGCTAGTTCTCTTAAATTTTAGTAATTTCCCCTGGCCTAAGAATTGGATAGTATGTTAAGGCTTCTGATAAATGCCACTAAATTCAAATTGTTGATTTTTTTAAAAAAACTGATATGTATAAAGATAGTTAAAAAATTATCTGTAATATTATTAGTAACTGACAGACTATCTTACCATTACACTGTAATTTGTAGACATATATATATATATATTTTTTTTCTATTCAGATTGGACAGTCATCTCAGCTTTCCTGTTTTCTAAATTCCATCTGTTTCGATTTATTTGGGGGCCATACCTGGGCATGGTGCAATTGCATATATTTGAAGAAGTGTGAAAGTATAATCCTAAAGTGTATACAGTGCTCTAAATCACTATTACCTGAAAGCAACAGAAAAGTCACATCTCTTCCCCAAAACCCCAATGTTCTTAGCTATCTCTGTTTGCAACTGATATAATACAGATTCCTCATATGTCTCATTGGTCAGAATAAGTCATCCTTCATCCAGCCCTCGTAAGGGAATCTAATTTATCAAATGTAATCTCAAAACAGTTGTTAACCATGTATCATGTGGAACCAGGGTAGAGACTCTAACAAAATCAAGTTCTTCCAACCATAAATGGAGAAAGAGGCTGTTGGAAAGATACAGGGCTGGAGAGATAGTACAGTGGGTAGGGCATAATACCCAGATTCAGTCTCTGCCATATATTATCCCCCAGCACTGCCAGGAGTAATCCCTGAGAGCAAAGCCAGGAGTAAGCCCAGAACACCTGAGTGTGACCCCAAAGCAAAAACAAAACAAGATAACCAGTAGTTACATAGGAACAGAAAATACTTCAGGTAATCTTTCTTGAATGTTGTTTCCTACCCTACAGCTAAGCTTTTAATATGAAGCAGAAAATTCAAGATTATTTTTCTGTTAGGAGCAGCTAGAGTTCAGGTATTTAAAGCTGTAGATTAAAGAGTATATCCATAATTTTCTTAGAGGTCATCTGAGTAGGTGATAGGTTGCTGAACATGTTTAAGAAGCCTGATAATCACCTGAACAGATGTTCACCTTTGCTTGGAAGATGTCAGTGGCAATCACCTTGCTAATGAT